GTATTTTCATAAAAATTAATAATATAGAGGATATAAATAAGAGATTTGGTTTTATATAAAATTAAGTAAATTATTACTCATTTAGATATTAATAACAACGGTATGAAAATTTTATGTTAATGTTTATAAAATTTTAATTTATCATTAAGATCTCTTTTAAAATATTGTTTATCACCATAATTAAGTTATTCATTAAAATGAATTTAGTTTTTTTCGTAACAATCAAAAATATCATACTTTACATTAAAAAGGGTCTAATTTTTTCAAACGACTTAATTTAATAAATGATTTATTAATTATGTATTTTTTATCTGTTTTATCTATTAATTATTTTTTATACTTAAGTAGTTTATTAACTTTCAAAAATATATCAAATTAGTTTACTGTTGTTGCTGAAAACCTTCAAGGCCTTCCTTGCTCAGATCTTTTTGTCCAATAAACCTGCAAAGCCCCGAGGGTGATTCTCGGGGTAGACAGTCCGATGCTTAAGTTAGCAATAGTCTACACTTAGAGCTCTTTCGAAAGAATGGAGTGTATTAGAGAGAAATACTCAAGGAGGAGTCCCATACCTCTGAGGGGTGTGGGGGTATTTATAAATCCTTTGGGAATGCTGGACATGTGTTGCACTTCTGCTGGTCCCTTTGGATCTATTTGAATGTATATGAACTCCATAGTAACTTATGTATGTGCTCTTTTGTATTTGGGCCTCATGGGCCTTTACTATGTTTATGGGCTAGTTATATTACTACCCTTACACTATTCCCCCTCCCGGATTCATTCACTTGTGAATGATTAGTGTGGAAGATGAGTGTAGATGGGGGTAATAAATATAGCAATGTATGACATGAAATCATGTTTTAGGCTGTAGCCGAGGTAAAAATGCATGACACAGAGTCATGTGTTAGGGCCGTAGCCTAAGTAAAAATGCATGACGCGAAGTCATGTGTTAGGGCCGTAGCCTAAGTAAAAATGCATGACGCGAAGTCATGTGTTAGGGCCGTAGCCTAAGTAAAAATGCATGACATGGAGTCATGTGTTAAGGCCATAGCCTAAGTAAAATTGATGACTCAATGGCCAGAGTCGAAGTAACATAGGTGATGTGTGGTCATTATGGTAGGAGCTGAAGTAAAATAGGTGACTCGGGGTCACTAGGGCCGGAGTCAAAGTAGAACTGGTGACTCGTGGTCACTATGGCCGGAGCCAAATTAGAACTGGTGACTCATGGTCACTATGGCCGTAGCTGAAGTAGAACTGGTGACTCGTGGTCACTATGGCCGTAGCCAAATTAGAACTGGTGACTCGTGGTCACTATGGCCGTAGCCGAAGTAGAACTGGTG